TGCAATTCTCAGTTCTTCTGGTTCACCATCAACTGAGTTCAGATGGCAAATCTGTTATTTATATGGTCTTTAAAGTCTCCAGTACAGTTATTCAAAAATATTTTGACACCAAGATTTTTGTGGATACTCTAAAATAGATATGTATGTTATAACATTTGTTGGGACAGAATATGGAGGAACAATATTGTTTTTCATTGATAAAGCAGCCAGACAAGGATGTACATTATCTTCCTGTCCAATACCTGGAGAAAGACAATAATGCTAAGAAAAGTTGAAAGCTATGGAAAAAGGAAAACCTAGCACGAGGTGAATTGACTAAATAAATTAAGCCATTATGGAAAAAGGAAATGAGGTGAATTGACTAAATAAATTAAGCCATGTCCTTTCATTTGCAAGGCCTAAGTAGGATTGTTAGGACATTTAGAAGTCAGTACTGTAGTTCATAGGGTTACTATAGGAAGGGCCTTGATGGCATGTAACATAACACAACAATATTGTTTTAAAGGTTTTCTTCAACTTTAATTCTTTATGTTAATTTTTGTGGCTTATACCACAGCCCATTCTTGGTATTATTTTTGCAGGGAGAACACAGCTTCTCTATCTCTATTTCCAGTTCTAATAGCCAGAATCTGATTGTTTATGTGATCACATATGGGCAGCTGCACAAACCTTGCTTCATTTCCTGCAGGCTCACCTCCACATGTCTGGCTGCACAAACCTTGCTTCCTTTCCTGCAGGCTCACCTCCACATGTCTGATCCCACACCAGCTGTAACACTGGGAACATGACTGGTTGTGTAATCAGTCACACAAAGGGGTGCTGACAGAATGTGAAGAAACTGCTGTTTCTCTTATACCCATGTTTTTTCTCTACTTGGATTTTGGACATTGTCTATTTGATTTCTATGTTGACCATCCAGTGATATGAACTTGATACAATTGTTTGTGCAGTTGCCTGAATCATATATTTGCATTAATAGCTGGCTTCGCAGAATTCTTTGAGATGCTCACCTGATTCATTTCTAATCCTTAGGCCAAAATTTCCACATGTGTTCAGTTCTGCTTTGTTTCCTACTTTTACATTCCAGTTACCTATGACTCTATTTTGTGTGTGATCGATTTCCTCCTGAGCAGTTGCAAAGTAGCTTACAATATTAAAACAAGCAATATTTTAAGAAATAAAACATCAGTCTGATTTTTATGAACCCCGTTACAGTGGACCCTTGACTTACAGACGGCTTGACTTACAGACTTTTTGAGTTACAGACTTCTCTGGCCGCAAAATTTAGGTTTGACTTGCAGCCTGAGAATTGACTTACAGACCAGAAAAAAACCAAAATGGAACAAAAACGGCCTGTTACGGGATTAATCGATTTTCAATGCACTGTAGGTCAATGGAGACTTGACCTACAGACTTTTTGACTTGAGAACCGCCTTCCAATACGGATTAAGTTCTCAAGTCAAGACCCCACTGTAGTTAGCCAATTACTGAGAAAAAGTCTGCCTAAAGAGAAAGGTCTTTGCCCACATGCAAAACAGCCTGGCCTCCCACGGGAAATTGCTCCACAGCTTAGAGCAGTGACCTGAGAAAGCTTTCTCTCCTGTTGCCACCAAATGCGTCTGTGATGGTGGCCGGAATATGAGAAAGGCCTCCCCTGATTATTTAAAAACACAAGCAAACTCCAAAAAGAAGATGTTGTCTTCCAGGTAGCTTGCACCTTTAAAAAGGCCAAGAATAAAATATTTTCAATCACATGACGACTCTGAAAATGACAAATTGTTAGGCATGGCAAAATGCAAGTAGTTAGGGACTGCAATGAAAAGCTGGCTGAATCATACCAATCAAATCTTCATAGCAAGATGCAAAAGAGAGGAAACTTTCCTTCCGTGGGCATCCTTTCAGGTATTTATTTTAAGTTCCAAGCCAATTTGCTTTGTTTATGTTTTTACATATCTGTTTCTTGCATTTGTTTTAGTCCATGTGTACATATATACCACAAATACTTTCAATACATTCCATTCACTATGTTCTCGCTTACACAGGCTTATATTTTCTAGTCCCCAGGTTGCCGCTGTTCATTTACATATCTTCCTCTCCCCACTGCTGTTCATATGACTGAGTAATAGTGCTTGGAAAACTTAAGAGAAGCAGCTGACACAAAGTTACACACTGTGGCAATTTTACATTGCCCACATATTTTATGTAAAAAAAACCCCAGTATTTGTATGCATGGTAAGTGACTGAGGTTAACAGTTGTATGTGGATTTTACTTAGTGTGGCATCTAAGGCAGTTCAAAAGTGTGGGGAAAAGTTTGTGAATGGATCTGCAAGCTGATTTGTTAGTAGGGTTTGTAGCTGGAGAGGTTCTTTGTGTATAAGGGTGTGAGTGGCAAGGGTTAGTTAATAAGAGCTGTGTGTTAGTTAATGTTCTCAGTTACAGCTCTGATATAAGCAGAATTTCAGAGGAAGACTGTGGTCTGTTTGTAAAGAGGTTGCAAATAAAAGTGTGGTCTTATCAGAACTTCTGTCAAAGCACGTTTCTATTTATATACAGTATATATGGGGCAGTGAAAGTGTTTGAACTGCATAACAAAGAACAGTCCAGTCTTATGGTTACAGTGGTGCCTCGCTAGATGATTACCTCGCAAAACGGTTTATTCGCAAGATGATGAGTTTTTGCAATTGCTATAGCGCTTCACAAAACAGTTTTCCTATGGGTGATTTTTGCAAAACAACGACTATTTTTCCCCACTGGAACGCATTAAATAGATTTCAATGCATTCCAATAGGGAACCGCATTTCGCAAGACAATGTTTTTGCAAAACAGCAATTTTCGCAGAATGAATTAACATCATCTTGCAAGGCACCACTGTATATACTAAATAAACTGATGGTTGAAACCTTTATCTTATATTTTGGTTTCACATGTTCACGGAACCTCTTTATCATTGTGTGTGCATTTTTAAATCAAAATTCAGAATGAACAATGATCTTCTGAAACAGTGGTTCCCAGGTGTTCTTGAATATCTGGAAACCCAAGGTTGAGGAGCACTGCATTGCCACCGTAGACAATTAAAGCTAAGGTGTGAATTGTAGATGTCCAACGTTTCATTTATAAAATTTAAAAAACACTGTAGGGCAAGACTTTTTGAACTTTGTATTATTGAAAGGCAAAAGCTGTTTACCCAAACAAGAGAGAATGTCATTTTCAAAGAGTTACGGGGCACTGTAATAAACAGTTTGAAAGAAAGATATCTCTATTGTTCCTGGTGTTGAATGCACTAATTTATATTGTGCTTATTGAGTTGTACTAAGATATGTATATATTCTGGTTCTTTTTATGTTGTTTTTGTATATTGATGATTTGTTAATCAAATAAAATAAAATGGGTTTGCTGGTGAACAAACAACAACACTATTCTAAAGAAGCTTCAAATGTTGAAGCCCATAAGGGACAATACCTCTCTTGGGCCACTTCAAAAGGTCCTCAGTTATTGTGCAAACCTTTGGGCTATACAGAACCCTTCATCAGGCAGGCTGGTAAAGACAGCAAAAGCAGGAATAGGTGGTAATAATAATAATAATAATAATAATGCACTGTAATGTTTGAAAGAAAGATATCTCTATTGTTCCTGGTGTTGAATGCACTAATTTATATTGTGCTTACTGAGTTGTACTAAGATATGTATATATTCCGGTTCTTTTTATGTTGTTTTTTTATATTGATGATTTGTTAATAAAATAAAATAAAATGGGTTTGCTGGTGAACAAACAACAACACTATTCTAAAGAAGCTTCAAATGTTGAAGCCCATAAGGGACAATACCTCTCTTGGGCCACTTCAAAAGGTCCTCAGTTATTGTGCAAACCTTTGGGCTATACAGAACCCTTCATCAGGCAGGCTGGTAAAGACAGCAAAAGCAGGAATAGGTGGTAATAATAATAATAAT